CACTTAATAGGGCTGTCACAGGTAGGTCATAAAAGACAGTGAGGCCTCCACCTTGCTCTCTGGGATTATTTGCTCTGGAGAAGCCAGCTGCCATGTTATGAGGACACTCAAGCAGCCCTGTGGAGAGGTCCGAATGGCAGGGATTAGAAATATCCTGTCAGTAGCCAGCATGAACTTGCCAGCCAGGTGAATAAACTTTCTTAGAAATAATTCCTCCCAAGGCAGTGATGCCTTCAGCTGCCAGCAGCCCCAGCAGACGTCTTGATGACAACCTCTTGAGAGACCCCATGCCAGAGCCACCCAGCCAAGCCACTCCTAATTGTTGACCCACAGAAATGGAAATAATAAATATTTCATGTTAATTTAAGCTGCTACGTTTGGGGCAATTTGTTACACAGCAATAGATAACTAATACACACTCCATACTTCCCCCACTCATTTGCAGTGTCTTTAAAAATATTTCTCACACCTACACTGGTCTGTTTCTGAGCTCTCTACTGTGTTCACTGTCTTTGTTTCTGCACCAGAACTTCTTTGTACTGTATCTTAATATCTGGTAGGGTCAGTCTCCTCTGCTCTTTTTAAAAATTGACCTAAGTAATTATAGACTTTTAGTCTTCCATATTAATTTTTTTTTTTTTTTGGTGGCTTTCCAGTGTGGGTTCCATATTAACTTTAGAAAAAGTTTTTTATGAGTTTCTCAAAAAAAAAAAAAAAAGATCTTCTGGAATTTGTATTAGAATTGCACATTTAGCTTTCAAGGTTGGGAGAGGTAAGAAGGGTTTTGGCATGAAAATTCTAGAAGACAGACAAGAAAGAAGCCCACATGTCTGGTTCTGCTTCTTTCTCCAGCCTCATCCCACCCAACCAGGTTCATTCATTCAACAAATATTTATCGAGTGTAACTGTATATGAGGTACTTACTCCCTAGGTGGGAAGAGACAGACCAAACAAATGGACAGAAAAGTAGAAAATGTCAGGAATTAAGTGCAGAGAAGAAAATGAACTGATATGTGAAGGGAAGGAAGACAAGGAGGCTGCTTTAGCCGGGGATCTTAGGGAGGAGGACTGGCATGTGAGGAGGCACTGTTAGAGCTGAGATTGGATTGGCACGAAGGAGCCAGCCTTCCCTTGGCTGGTGTGGTGCGAGCATCCCAGGCTTGGGGGACAGCAAAGGGCCAGGGCAGGTGCAAGCTGGGTGTGCAGAGGAACAAGACAATCAGTGGGGTTGAAATCCAACAAGTAAGGGGAGGGAGGTACAGGTGAGATTGCAGAGGTCAGATCCTGCAGATCCTTGTGGGTGACTAAGGAGTCTGGATTTTCACCCAAGGGCAACAAGCAGCATTTGAAGGCTTTTAAGTTGGGGAACAAGTGATCTTTGGTTGCACTGTTAACCACCTTCTGCTTCTTCCCCAGCAAAAAAGTGAGAATCTGTCCCCGCTGTGCCTCATCCCCACAGTGACATCTCCCCGGGAGGAGCAGCAGCTCTTGGCCAGCACCTCCAAGGTGAGGCCCCTGAGCCCTGCAGGGTGGAGTCTGAGGGCCTCTCCCTGCAGCATTACCCCCATGCTTTTCCACCCTCTCTCCCCCAACAGCCCGTGGTGAAGCTTCTGCACAACCGCAGTAACAACAAGTACTCCTACACCAGGTGACTGCCATGGCAGGGGGTGGTGCTGGGGCCAGTGGGCAGAATCCTAGCACTGAGCATAACCCTGCTCCTGGCCCAAGGACTACAGGAATGCCTGCCTGGCTGCAGATTTCAGCTCGGCCACTTACCTGAATGCTTTGGGCATGGCATTTCTACTTCTGACCTTCAGTTTCATATCAGTAAAGTGGGGTTCGGGGGAAGATGATGATGGCTGCACATATAGTGCTTGTTGTGTAACAGGCATTGCCCTTGATGCTCTCTCTATATTCATTTACATGATCCTCACAATTGTTTGAGGTGGGTATTGTGACTTTTTCGTTTTACAGACGAAGAGTTTGAGGCAACTTGCCTAGTGACACTCAGTTAAAAAGTGGTGGAGCTAGGCTGCCTGGTGAGGCAGCCTGGCCCCAGAGCCTGCCCAGGGAGCCACTTTGCCATGCTGGGATTTGCAAATGCTGTTTCCCTTCTGAAGCCCACTTAGTCTGGCTTCTGGGTGGAGGAAGCTCCCTGTTGGGCACCAAACTCCTGGGCAGGACCAGAGTGCTGGGAATCTGGGCCCCTATTCTGGGGGGTAGGAGGGAAGAGGGAGGGACACCAGTCATGCTGAGGTCTCCTGGCCTCCTTCAGCACTTCAGATGACAACTTACTTAAGAACATCGAGCTGTTTGACAAACTGGCCCTGCGCTTCCATGGGCGTCTGCTCTTCCTCAAGGACGTCCTGGGGGACGAGATCTGCTGCTGGTCTTTCTATGGGAAGGGCCGCAAAATCGCTGAGGTATGCTGCACCTCCATCGTCTATGCTACGGAGAAGAAGCAGACCAAGGTCAGAGGGGCTCTGGGCCTGGTCAGGGAGGGCTGTGGTGGTGGGCAGGCCCGGGGCCCTGTACAAAGGCAGCTCAGCAGGCCAGGCAGGGGAAAGAGTCCGTCACTGGGAGTAAGGAGCCAGAGTTCTGGGGCCTTGGCCATGTAGCCTTGGGCAGGTCACTTTAGTTCTGTGGGTCTCTGTTTCTCTACCTGTGAAATGAGGGTGTTGGATTAGAGTGGGGTTCTGAACTGAGGCCTGTTGGATGGGTTTCAAGGCTGTCTCCAATCCCTGAAATAGTATGCAGGTTTGGGAGTGTGTGTGCATTTTTCTGTAAGAACATCCATAGAATCCTACCAAAAATAGGTTCTTAAAACCTTATGGCCAGATGGTCTCTTAGAACCCACTCTGAGTTTGTAGGTCCTGAGTCATTAACATGACAGTCATTAGTAAATATTTCCCAAGCACGTACTCTGTGCTAAGCACTGCACCAGGCTCAAAACCCACTCTGCGCTCAGCACTGCAAAGGGCTCGAAACCCACTCTGCCCTTAGTACTGCACCAGGCTTGAAACCAGGGGTGAAATGCCAAGGAAAGTGCAGGCCCTTCCTCACCGGCGCCTGTGAGCTGGGTATGAGGTGCCTCAGCTGCACTACATCCCTCAAAGTCTTTAAGCAGCCAATGCTGTTTCACACCCACTGCCTTCTTGGAATTCTTTTCCCTGTCTGCCTAATGAACTTGTACTTAATCTTTGAGACCCAAGCCAAGCATCACTTTCATTGGGACCCCTTTGCGAGTGAACTTTCAACCCATCAACCCCAGCCAAGTTGGTCACAATCCCTTCTTAGTTAAAGATAGTGTTCATTGTAATCTGTGGGTTGGAGGGAGGGGGGCTGCTTCAGCAGCAGGGTGTTAGCTGCTTGAGGGCAAGGCTGTATCTTTTCCATCTCCCTAGCACTAGCTAGACCCTAGCACTAGTGGGGCCTTTGTCACACAGTGGAAGCTAGGAAACATTTGAATGCGTGCATGCATGAATGAATGCATGACCCACCTTCCAAGAAGCTTCATCTGTAATTGGGAGGACAGGAAGGAAAAACCAATAATTCACATGTTAAGGCCTATGTTAGTTTTATCTTTCCAAGGCCACACAAGGGGAATGCCCCTCTCACCTCTGCCACTTCATCCCTTACTGCTCTCTCTATCACTCTGCCTCTGTTGCATTGGCTCCTTGCTAACCTTCAAATAGTAATGCACTAGGTACAGTCCTGACCCAGAGGTTTTCCACCTGCTGTTGTGTCTTCCCAGACTGCTTTCTCCAGCTATCCACCCAGCTCCCTCCCCTCCTTTGGTCAGACGTCACCTTCTCAGTGAGGCCTTCCCTGAACTCCTTCTTTAAAGTTGTAACATCCCTGGTCATTGCTGTCTCATCCACTTTTCCTGCTGTATCTTTCCCCATGACGTTTATCATCATCTAAATTAGTTTATATTTTATTAAGTGTTTGTCTGAGTCCTCCCCCTAGAATGTAAACTTCCTGAGGGTAGGAACTTTGTTTTGTTCACTGCTGTATTCCCAGTGCCTAGAACAGCACCTGGGATAGTGCAGTCACTCAGTAAGTATTTGTCAAATGAAAGAATATATCAAGACTTGGCAGTGTGGGAGAGAAAACCAATAATCCTGCCTGCCCAACTTCAGAGCTGGGCCTTGAAGTATGACTCTGCTGAGTAAAGAAGTTGCAGAGGACAGTCCAGACCAAAGAACCTGATTGTAAAGGCTAAGGGGTGTGCAGGAGCTGCTTGGGAAGGGGGATTGCTGTGTGAGACTGGACCAGAGGGTAGGAGCTAGGGGTTGCTGGCCTTTTGCAGGTGGAATTCCCAGAAGCCCGGATCTTTGAGGAGACCCTGAACATCCTGATCTATGAGACTCCTCGGGGCCCAGATCCAGCCCTCCTGGAGGCCACAGGGGGTGCAGCTGGTGGTGGTGGGGCAGGCCGAGGGGAGGATGAAGAAAACCGAGAGCACCGTGTCCGCAGGATCCACGTCCGGCGCCATATCACCCATGACGAGCGTCCTCATGGCCAACAGATTGTCTTCAAGGACTGACCTTTGACGCTTCCCATCTTCTTCCTGCCTCTGGAACCCAGTCCCATCCTTTCTTTTCCTCCCCTTCCCAGACCTTTGCCCCGGCTCTGCTGGCCAAGTCGTGGGTCCTCCTTCTGTCCCTTCATTGCATGGTACTGTTCACTTTGGCCCTTCTACATTCATTCCCTCCTTATTGCTAACAACACGGTACATTCCAGCCCCTCCCCTCAGTCAGAGCCCTTCAGAAGGCCAATTCATCCCCATTCTCATCCTACTATCTTTCCCTCACCAGTTGGTTTAGAATGACTTAGATTCCCTTTTTCTTTCTCAGTATGTGCACATGCCAGAGTGTGAAGCCAGCCCCTCATAACATCCCCACACACTGAGCCACGCCACCTCCTTCCCCACCTCCTCCCTCCCTAATTTTGTATGAGGCTGGCCTGGGCCTGCACCAGCTCAGCTACCTTCTCAGTCTGTTTCATATTATTTATTATTTTAATTTTCTATTAAATTATTGGAATAAAGTTGAGTTGAGGGTCTGCTGCTGGCTCCCGGGGAGAGGGACGGGGCGATGGCTTGTATTAGGAGGTACTTGGTTGGTTGTATGGGAGAAAATGTGAGCCCCTGCCCCAAGCCCTTCCCCGGGGTTGGCAGCTGGGAAGGAAGTAGTCAGGAGTTAGGAGAGGATTCACAATGTCTGTTTCTGTGCTCACTGGCCACATCCCGCCCTCAGCCCTCATCCTCCTCCTCCCTCCACAGTGGGGAGGAGGTGCTGGCTGCCACTCAAGCCGTCCCTGAGTGCAGCATCTCTCCAGCCCAGGTGTGTGAAGGGAACACCTTCCTTCAAGGGTCTGGTGCAAAGACAAAGTCAAGAGCCTGGCGCTCAGCCCCAGCCACGTTGGGGTGCCACAGATCCACGATGAAGACCACTCGTGGCCCATCTTCTGGGGAGCCTAGGGCATGTGGGAATGGAAAGGAGAGCAGCTGACGTTAGTTCTTCTATGCCAGAGCACTCACAAGGTAGTCACCAAAGTATACAGTGCCAGGCCCTGGTCTAATCCATTATATGTAGTAACTCTTAATCCCGAAAACCAACTATGAGGTAGTGCCCCCATCATCCCCATTTTATACAAAGTAACTGAGGCACAACAAGGGTAAGTAACTAGCCCAGGTTCTGCAGCTTGTGCAAGAGGTAGGATGGGAACCCAGGTGCTCCAGCCCGAGTCCTGTGCTGTCAATCACTTTGCCATGCCCCTACGTTAACTTATTTAATCCTGGCTGTCACTTGAAGCTGGCAGTTGCCCCACAAGTGATTGGAGAAGCTATGTGAGGTGTTCAAGGTCATGCAGCTGGAAATGGTGGTGCCAGTCAGTTGGGTCTGACTCTGCAACCCTTTAGTTCACTCTCCTTCACTCTTCAGTCCCTCACCACCCGCAGCACGAAGGGAGCCCCTTTACCATTATGAGCCACGGTGTGCAGGAAGGAGTCGTCCACCAGTAGACAGTGCCCCTCAGCCCAGCACTGGGGCTCACCCCCGACCACCAGCTCACAGCCAGGGGGGGTCTTCAGGCCTGTGGGAAGAGACCCGAGCATCCAACACTCCTGCCTCTGTCCAAGGGGCCCACCCTGTTCAGTCAATTAGCAGATCTAAGGGTCTTAAACACTAGGTTCTGTGGCAGTCTCTCCTTGCTGTTTGGAAGGTGACCAGACTATAATTACAGTACAGTACTGGATGAGAGAAGAGCTAGGAGAAAAGAGAAGGCTTCCTGAAGGAAATGGCATTTCTTCCTGGGCTTTCTGACAATTTAACTCAAAAACCTACTTTGTGCTAGGTGCTTTCTTCATATGAAATTTAAAACCTCCATCCTGGCTCAAGGACCACACAGTTGAGTGTGGTGAGAAATCTGAGCAGCCAACTGAGCAGGGGAATAGAAAGACATCCCAGAGGAGATGTGGCACTTGGACATTTGGGTCCTGAAGGCTGAGGAGTTTTTGAGGAGGTAATAAGGGGGAAAGGCATTCTAGATTGAAAGTACAGCCCATATGCGGCATCTGCCAGGATCAGCCAGAAGGCCTCCCTTATTTAAAGCATGATGGGAGGGAGGCAAGAGGAGGAAGGATCTGGACTTGGTCTGGAGGCCAGTGTGCCCCCAAAAGCGTAGGACACATCCAACTGACAGCACAGGAGATGATTTGGGGTGAAACAAGGTCATGCCATGGAATAACCATCAGAACATTGTTCCCTTTTCCATTTTCTTCCAATCTTTAAAATATCAAAAACAAACCCAAGGGCTGAGCCCATGGTGCACTCGGGAGAGTGCGGTGCTGGGAGCGCAGCAGTGCTCCCGCCGCGGGTTCGGATCCTATATAGGGATGACCGGTGTGCTCACAGCGCTCACTGAGCGCGGTGCGGCCAGTCTCAAAAAGTACAAAAAAAAAAAGAAAAAAAACCCAATGATTTTGAGGTGTAAAAAAGAAAAAAATCACCAGAAAAAATCTGGTGCTACCATAATTTTAACACCCCACTAACATTGCTCCTTTTTAAATGAAGCTTCGGGCCTGGAGAGACTAGAGTATTCAACTAGAATGTTAAAAGCTTTTTCTTTTTCTTTTTTTTTTTTTAAAAGATGACCGGTAAGGGGATCTCAACCCTTGGCTTGGTGTTGTCAGCACCACGCTCAGCCAGTGAGCAAACCGGCCATCCCTATATAGGACCCGAACCCATGGCCTTGATGTTATCAGCACCGCACTCTACTGAGTGAGCCACGGGCCGGCCTAAAAGCTTTTTTTTTTTTAAGCTTAAATTTGTTTTTGTGAGTACCGATGATCACTCACAGTTCTATAAAGATTTCTTTTAAATAAATAAGTAAAACACAAAGCGTGGGGAGAGTCAATGTGAAGAAATATAGAACAGGTGGGAAATGACTAGAGCAGAGTTTATGAGGATGGTTTGCAGGTAACTAGAACTGCTGTTGTGGGCAGCAAGGAGCCACGGAAGGCTTTTGAGAAGAGAGGCATATGAGAACCATAGCATAGACAGCTCTGGTGGCAACGCAGAAGAAGGCCTGGAGAGGGAACAGTGGAGGCAAAGAGGTTGTCTATAGGCAGCATCTACTTACCCAGATGGCATCTGACCCGGGCATTGGTGGGCCCACAGCGGGCCTCGAGCCGGGCCCCTGGCAGAAGAACGGAAAAGCCAGCATTGCCGAAGGTGTTGGCACTCATAAAACTCCGTAGCCCTCTCAGTGCCCGATAGGCTCCTGGGCACCGGCGGCAGTTGTTGGGTTGGCACCTGCCTGCTTGGTACAGCAGGAGCTGATAGCACCCAGGGGCCAGGAGTGGGGACCAGCCCCGAGGCAGAGGGGTAGTCCCTGAGAAGTCCCAGCTCACAGCCTCAAAGTCCCGCAAAATGGCAAGGAAGCTGCTCTCCAGGAGTTCCACATCATGCCGCTGGGCATCCCGTGGCACAAAGGGGACTGAAGGTAGGTCTGGTAGGAAAAGCAGGCCTGGGCGCTGAATGCCCAGGACCCCTGGACCTCCCCCAGGGCCTGGACCACCCTGAGCTGCCCGCCTCACCCTACCCATCCCAGCCCAGGAGTAGCGCCTGGCGTAGGCCCGAAGCCGACAGCTCACTAGGCCTTCTGTCCTGGCTCCTTCCCCATGCTCCCCAGAGCTCCCTGGGCTTGGCCTGCCAGCCTCAGAGCATCCCCCAGGCCCACCACTAACACCCGCAGCCCCGCTCCTAGCCCCCAGGGCCTGCATGTCTTGGGAGCCCAGGCGGTAGCAGTACCAGAGGAAAAGGGAAGTGAGGGCTCCAAAGAGCAAGGTCAGGGCTGAGGAGGCCAGGGGCACTGGCCAGGGGAGCATGATAGGCAGGGAGGCCCTGGCCAAGAGGCCTGGGGCATCTTCCAGACCCCAGTTCCCCTGTCCCCCTAGCTCTCTACCTGTCCCCTCCATGGCTGCTCCCTCGTTCCCCGCCGGGCTGTTTCCCTTCCACATTCCCACTTTTGGTTCTCTCCTCCTTAGGGCTCCTTTCCACTTTGTATCTCTCTCCCCTCCTTCGTGTACCTCTAACCTTCCTTTCCTTCTCTCTCTCCTCTACCCCTGCTTTCCCTGTTCCACTCTCCTCTCACTCTACGCCCCCTCCACCCCTCCCTTCCTCTATCGCCCCCTCCTCCTCTGTCTTCTTTTTCCTTCCGGCAGTCTCCTCTTTCTCCCTCCCCCCTCCTCGCTTTTCTTTTCCCTCCTCCGTTTGCCCTTCTTTCTCTCTCTCTCCCCCTTTTAACTTCTAGCTTCCCCGGACAGCAATTCCTACCCCACCTGGACCCGCAGCCCCGGGAACCCGCAGCCTGTCCTCAGTGGCGGCTTCGTTCTCTCCTTCCGCCCACCTCTGTCTTTCTTGCCCTCGCTTCTCTCGACCCGACCCGCCAGTCCTGTCTCTCTCTCTCCCGCTCCCTCTCTCCCGCTCCCTCTCTCCTACTCGCTCCTTCCTTGGAGCCCACTCACCCTGACGTCACTCCTTCCCGCAGCCCTCAGCTTAGCTACCCCAACCCCTCCCAGTGAAAGCCGCAACCAGCCTTGGCGGGAGGGGGAGGGTCGTCTCTGGATTTGCTTCCCCGCCCCCCAGCCCAGACTGGACGCCACGTCCGCTCCCTCTCTCCCGCTCCCTCTCTCCTACTCGCTCCTTCCTTGGAGCCCACTCACCCTGACGTCACTCCTTCCCGCAGCCCTCAGCTTAGCTACCCCAACCCCTCCCAGTGAAAGCCGCAACCAGCCTTGGCGGGAGGGGGAGGGTCGTCTCTGGATTTGCTTCCCCGCCCCCCAGCCCAGACTGGACGCCACGTGGGACGCAGGGGCACCGTGCCAACCTCCAAACGTCCCGCAATGCGAAAAGAAGGGGCGGGGCCTGTTGGAGGGGCGGGGCAAACCCAGGGGGCGGGCCGGCGCTCGGGGACCGCGGGCTGAGGTGCCGTGGCCTGTCCGTCGGTCTGCGCGTCCGTCGATCTGTCGGCCTGTGACCCCCCCGCCCTCTCGGCCTTCACAAAAGCCCCTGGTGGGAGCCTGACCGATAATGAAAGTGGCTCCAGCCGATCGCCGGCGGGGGGGTGGGGGCCGGGCCCTCTGAGGCGGGGCCGAGAGGCGCTGTCCGCGCGTCTGTGGTGCTGAAAAGGGCGTTTCAGAGGCGTTGTGAGGGAGACCGGGAGAGAAAAATCAGAGTTGAAGCCGCCTGGCAGCTGGCCGGTTCAGGTTGTCTGTAAGGGAAGGGATCTCTCCTTCCCAGACCCCGGCCTGTCACTCCTTAGACTTCTTACAAACATGAAAACTCGCCGTTCTCCTGGGGGAACGGAAAGCCCATTCTACCCGTGCTTCTGTAAAAGGCAAAAGAAGTCCCCTGGGGGTCTGGATGTGGAGAGAGGGCATACTGAAGGGCCGAGCAGGCGCGAATCAAGCTGTGCCGCCCCTCGGCGCCTGGGAAGAGGAGATTCAGAATCCAGATGTGCTGGAATGGCAGAGGGAGAGGGAACTAATTGCTGCAGGAACCAGAGAGTTTCCTTTGCCTCCTCTAGAGGCCGCGGGAATGAGGATTACGGTCCTGGCTCATACGATCCCCTCCTTCCTCCATCTGCACTTCCTCCTCCTCCCTCCCCCGCAAACAAATCCCAGGCCCCTCCCTTCGCCCGTCCCCAGGATCTGACGTGGGCTCGACCCCTTTCTCAGCTTCTCCCTCCTGCAGCTCCAGTGCCCAAGCTCTGGCTCTCCCTGTTCCACAACCCCTTCCCCTCCCCGACCAGCCCCACTAGAGCCCAGTAGGGACCCTTCCGATCCTCGACCCCACCCTAGGCCCCCGGAAGCTGCCTTCTCCCTCTCCATCCCCCAGCTTGGGATCCAGCCAGCCCCGTGAACCCTGGCGCCCAAGCAAGAGGGTAACCCAGGCGACCCGCTCCTTCGGCCTTCTCGGCCCCACCCCCTGCAGCCGGAGCCGCGCCCCCCTCTACCGCAGATCCAAGAGCAGAGGACAGAGGAGATTGAGCAAAGGGGGGGGTGGGCTCCATCCCAAGGGGCTGAGAAATTGTCTTCCTTGGCTGACCCTTAGCAGGAAAAAAAAAATAATTAAAGGGAAATATAAAAGGAGACGGAGGAAAGGTGGTAGCCAGATCATTTAGGAGAGGCACAGAGGAGAGAAATCGGCGTGAGTCGCCATGGGGACTCCCAGGGCCCAGCACCCGCCGCCTCCCCAGCTGCTGTTCCTAATTCTGCTGAGCTGTCCCTGGATTCAGGGTAAGGACATGAGAGTGTGGGGGTGGGCCCCGGGAAGGCCCCCAGCGGGGTCCTCCACCCTCCTTTCTCCGAACATCCTGGGTCTTCTGACCTCGTGGGGGAGGGGAGGGGCACAGCTTACGGGGAACGGGCAAGCCAGGCTTTCAGGCTTGTGCCTAGGGTCCCTTAACCCCCAATATTGAAGAGGTGGGAAATGAATGAGGAGAGCTTTTAGCAGCGTCTCAGGAGTTAAATCCAGGAAGGAGGGCTGGGGGAAGTTGGGGGGATGTCTGCGGAGGCGGCAAAAGCACGCAGGGTACCTGGGTGGGAGATGAAGCTGCTGGGAGAGACACCAGGCGCTCCACACTCAGATGTGCTTGGATGTACCGACAAAGATGAGAAGTCAAAGACCAGATATTCAGTCTCCTACTCTGACCCCCAGCCAGACTCCAGAGAAGGAGACAGAGACTCATAGAATGAGAGAGAGAGAGAGAGAGAGAGAGAGAGAGAGAGAGAGAGAGAGAGAGACAGCCACACTGCAGAGACAGAAACCCAAAGAGAAAGCCAGGCACTGCAGAAGCAAGGGCTGGGACGTGCTGCCAGACCCTCCGCAGAGCCCCAGGGTTGTGGGGGAGACCACCACTGAGGTGAAAAGGAAGGCAGCATCGACGCCCCCTCTCCACCCTGCTGGTGCTGTCCAGGGTTCATAAGAACCGAGGTGCTCACTGAAGGTTTACACAGCTCCTGGGGGGAAAGGGGAGAGAGAGATGTAGGAGTGTGAGGGGCAGCTGGGAGCCCTTCCTCCAATCTTGGCTCTCAGCCCAGACTGGGACCCTCTGAGCCCCTGCAGGCCCAGCTGACAGAGGAGGGAAGAAGTGCTCTGGAAAAGATCACTCTGGAGAAGGAAGGGATGTGGGGGAGTGGAGAGGCTCACACAACTTTACCTTCTAGGTCTGCCCCTGAAGGAGGAAGAGGTACTGCCAGAGCCTGGAAGCGAGACCCCCACAGTGGCCTCTAAGGCCCTGGCCGAGCTGCTCCATGGGGCCTTGCTGAGGAGGGGCCCAGAGATGAGCTACCTGCCGGGTGAGGCCCCCAGAGTGACAGATGTGGCATAGAGGCAGAGGGAGAGACACTGGCTCAGGGAGATGGGAGCCAAGCTAGGGGAGAGAAGCAGGCAGAGAAAGACTGCAGAGGGGACAAGTCCCCTAGAAAGGCCAGTGGAATTCAGAGGGAGACAGGGTGAGACAGGTGGAGAACGAAAACTGGGCATAGACAGAACTGGAGAAATAGAGACGGAATGCTTGAGACAGTTGGACAGAAAAACACACACACAGAGAGAAAGAGATGGAAATTCTGAGAACCAGAGGCAGAGAAATGGTAGGAGAGAGAAAGAGAGAGAGCAAAATATGAAAAAGAGTAGATCTGGAATCATAAAATCAAACAGCAGTAAGAATACTACTAAACAGAGGAATAAAGAGTTCCAGAAAGAGCAAGACAGAGGCAAGAACAGGGGGTAACCAGGAGAGAGAGCCAGATCTGAAAGGGGAGGCAGAGAAAAGCTCAAAGAGATCCTCGGGGTGGAAGGGCCTGGGAGAGGGGAAGGGGAAGGTGGAAGAGGGGAAGAGAAGTGGGGGGAGGTCAGGCTGTGAAAGCCTTGGAAGGACATGGGGAGTTTGGGTGGGGAAAGGAAAGGTGGGGGTGGAGGGGCTCTACCTTGTGGGCGAGGCCTTTTGAGTTCAGTGAGGCAATCCCCAGTTTCTCTCAGTCCTGCCCACACCCAAGGGCAGCCAATTTGCTCCTCCTGTGCCCTGACGTTCCTTGCACTGTCCCAGGATCTGATCCAGACCCTACACTAGCCACCCCTCCAGCCGGCCAGACTCTTGCAGCGCCCTCCCTGCCACGGGCCACTGAGCCAGGGATAGGGCCTCTGACAACAGCCGTAACCCCTAAGGGGGTCAGGGGAGCAGGCCCCACCGCGCCGGAGCTGCTGACTCCGCCCCCAGGAACTACGGCCCCGCCCACGCCTGGCCCCGCCTCTCCAGGTCCGCCCCTCGGGCCTGAAGGAGGAGAGGAGGAGACTATGACCACCATCATCACCACGACGACTGTTACCACTACGGTGACTAGCCCAGGTGAGACGCTGGAAAGGGGATAGGGGTGGTGTCCAGGAGTAGGGATGTGGAAGAGGAGGCTGCTGGGATGGATGGAGGAGACGCTGCTGGGGACATGTGTTAGAAGGAGTTCTAGGTAGAGATGGGAGAGGGGCTTCTGTTTAATCCTAACAAAGGCTAGCATTCATATACCCTTTCCCTGTACCAGGCACTGCTCTATGTGTTTCATCTACATTACAAGTGGGGAGGGGAGTTCTGGGTACAAGTGAGAGGGGGTGCACAGGATAAAGACAGTGAGGGATGATGGGGAGAAGACAGATGAGTCTCCAGAGTTGCTTGGCTGGGAGGGCAAGAGCACAGGGGTTCTCTCTATCCCAGCCACTCACATTTCTTTAGTTCTGTGTAATAACAACATCTCCGAGGGAGAAGGGTACGTGGAATCTCCAGATTTGGGGAGCACTGCCAGCCACACCCTGGGGCTCCTGGACTGCACTTACAGCATCCATGTCTACCCTGGCTACGGCATTGAGATCCAGGTAACTGGACCTGAGCATGTGACTGTGAAACTTCTCAACCCTTTCTTTGGGGCTGTGGGTGTGTGAAAGTTTGGCCTGGGAGCCAGAGAGCCTATTTTCTGACTCATAAAATCTCAAAAACTCTTCTAGAGTTCTACCGCTTGGGCAATGTCACCGCATAGGCTGCTACATACAGGGAGAAGGAAGGCAGGGGACAGGGAGCTTA